CCTGACTCAGATGCAAAAGCTAAAGCAAAGTGGGAGGCATGGAACCAGAACAAAGGGATGTCCAAGATGGATGCCATGAGGATCTATATTGACAAAGTGGAAGAGCTGAAGAAAAATGAGGCTGGTTAAGGACACTTGAACAGACAAAAGGAAAATAGCATAACTCCTCTGGTAAGGAATCGGCTTCTTAAAAGACCCTGATGGCTGAAATGTCCTGAAAGGGGGTACCTAGGTTAGCTGAGACATCAATAAATTACTGAAACTGCAAGAGAGTGAGTGACTGCTTTAGGAAAAGAGAAACTCAGTGACTGTGACAGCCCTGGGGAGGTATCCAAATGTATGAAAGAGATCCCTCCTCTAGGTAAATTCAAAGTGGCTTTCTCTGTAGTTTTGAATGCCATTCCCAGTCTTCCTATTCCCACAGCATATGTAGATATTTGGCAGTAGAGAGGATGGAAGAGGATGGAGAATCATGTTGTGAAAATGTCCAAGGTTGGGTTGGAGGTAAGTGACCATTCTCCACTGACTTGGTCTCTGAGGGGGCTGGGGCCCCACCCTGTATCTTTTCAGGGAATGCCAACTCACCAATAACCTAACACTAGGGAGGAGAAAGGGACTCTGTCTTCCAGAAAGCAAAAGTCAAGTCCAAGCCCTTAGGGGAAGTCAATGTTTTGAGAGAAGTCAAACTTTTGGAGACACAGTGAAGTAACTGATGTATCACAACACAGCATCTCAGAAACAATGGAACAGATGGTTTCAAAATTCCAGTCTCTGAAAGACTCTTCTAAGGTGTTAGCAATCAAAATTTTCTTGGGACTACGCAGTAGCAAACCTTGGTTCCTGCTTGGGAACCTGTGTAGGACAGTATGTATAGGTATTTATATGTGGGATTTGTTGTAAGCACTCAATATACCCCTTGACCCATGCAAGTGTCAAAGTGTCCAGCCCCAGTGTCTACTCCTTATAAAAAACCATAGAGGCATCAATGCTAACATGTTCCAGTGGCTAGGATATGAAATGCTGAGTTCTTAAAGACATTTCAGAGAAATAGGTCTGCTGTGGCATGGCATTTCCCAGTACTTTTCCTTAAAAACTATTGTTGGGGGCTAGGGATGTAGCTTAATGGAAGACCACTTGCCTCACAAGTACAAAATTCTGGGTTCCATGGTGAAGGGGACAAAAACCCCACAATAACCAAAAAGACATTTTCACAGACAATGATATCAGGTCAGCTCCATGAGGGACCATTTAACAATAGAAGTAACAACCATAAAGACTTAAGAGGACGAAGAAAACCAAGTCTCACCAGTTCTCTTTAAGATATTCTGTTCATATATTTACAAGTTGCTAGGTGCATTACTTAAGAATAAAGTATATCCAGAACAGCCCAATGACTAAATAACTATTTTAACTATGAAGTGGGCAAGAACCACACTGTAGAATAGAATGCTACTCTCTCTTCTTTCAAGGATATTATGAACACATTTTGATGCCTTGAGGACCATGATTCATGTTAAATATGAACAATAGACAAATAATAATATATCTTGCTCCAAAATATGGGGTAGTTTGGCAGTTACAGGTATGCCATCCTATTTTGTAAATTACTATAGAACCTGAAAAGGTAAAAAGGTGCCATAATTAGGACTACAGGAAGCAACTGTAAGGAAGATTAAGTTTAAAAAGAAAAGATGAAACATAGTATATGTTTCGTAGTATACAGTGTGCTAAATTTTGTGGAGGAAAGGGAGAAAATAAGAATATATTTGTATTTGCTTAAATGGTTACCTATAGGGCTGGGATTGTGGCTCAGTGACAGAGCGCTTGCCTAACATATATGAGCCGCTTGGTTTGATCCTCAGCACCACATAAAAATAAATAAATAAAGGTATTGTGTCCATTTACAACTAAAAAAAAAAATGGTTATCTATAGGAAGCAGGAGAAATGGGATTGATAGGCAGAGGTAGGAGCAGGATTTGTTGTAGATCTTTTTATATTGTTTTGATGTTTGAACCATGTGACTCTGTTACCTTATAAAGAGGTCTGAGGCAGCCTAGAGTGATGGCTCATGCCTGTAGTCCCAGAGGCTTGGGAGGCTGAGGAAGGAAGATCACAGCCAGCCTCAGCAACTTAGGCTCTAAGCAACTTAGCAGAACCCTGTCTCAAAATAAAAAGTGAAAAAGGGCTGGCAATGTGGCTCAGTGATTAAGCACCCTTGGGTTCAATCCCTTGTATTAAAAATAACAAACAAACAAACAGTCTGAGGCATAGGTACTTATTGATCATTAAGGCTCGAGTACATTTCCTATTGATTTCCCATATGGTATGCTTGTGAATTCTTAGACCAAACAGGGAATTTTTTTTTTTTTAATTTTTTAATGGTACTAGGGATTAAATGGTACTAAGTGTAAGTTCAAGTATTTCTTGAGGTTAAATCCAGAGATTTAGAATGGCTATGCTGCAAGAGTTCTCCTAGGTTAGATGGATTAAATGGTACTAGGGGTGCTTAGTCACTGAGCTACGCCTCCAGTCCTTTATATTTTTTTGAGTTCTGGTCTCACTAAGTTGCTGAGGCTGGCCTCAAACTCGCAATCCTCTTGTCTCAGCATGCACCATCATGCCCAGCCTTATTAACTGTTACTATGAATTTCAGAGGACAAGTTGAAGGCCTCCTGAAAATTGACTGCCAAACCACAATGGCTCTGTGTGACAGGTTAGATAGGCAGAATGTCACATAAAGGACGTCTGAACATCCATGGTTTAGTTAGTTCCACCAAGATGGCAGGTAGATTACCTCTAACTCTCCATCTAACTTAGGAGAACTCTTGCAGCATAGCCATTCTAAATCTCTGGATTTAACCTCAAGAAATACTTGAACTTAGCAGGCTAGACTCCACAACCTGTCAATTAAAAATCAAAGTGACTACTCTGAAAACCCAACTCTTGCTTTACAACTTCATCTGTTTAAAAGACCAGCTCATACAAAATCGCCTTTCTGAACTAGGGAGTAGCTCAGTGGTATACCACGTGCATAGCACATATGAGGTTCTGGGTTTGATCGCCAGCACTATAAAAATAAAAACAAAAAAGAAAAACCCAGGGGCTGGGGTTGTGGCTCAGTGTAGAGCACTCACCTGGCACATACAAAGCCCTTGGTTTGATCCTTAGCACCACATTAAAATAAATAAATAAAATAAAGGTATAGTGTCCAACTACAACTAAAAATAAATAAATATTAAAAAAAAGAAAAACCTATAGTACTTTCTCCAGTTCCACAACACTTTTCATTTAACTTATATTCCCTATCTTAGAGGAGCATATTCTTGAATTTCAAAGCAAAACAACAGGCCCTTTTTCTACACAAACATCTATATCTGTTTGTACTATGATTTGTTAATCTAATTTTCTATTAGATTATTAATTCCTGATAGTACCTCTTAATAATACTGTTCCCCAAAAAACAAACTACTGTTACCATGCATTAGGCTCTTATAAGGGGGACATATAGGGCTGGGTTTGTGGCTCAGAGGTACAGCGCTTGCCTACCATGCGTGAAGCACTGGGTTCGATCCTTAGCACCACATAAAAATAAAGATATCCCATCCACCTATAACTAAAAAAAAAAACATTAAAAAACGCGGGGACATATATATTTGTTATAGTAAATACAGTGGTTTATGTAAATACTGTGTGACTAAATAAACACTAGTTTCTTTACCTACTTAAGGTTGACTTTTTTTTTTCTTTTTTTGGTACTGGGGATTTAACCCAAGGGCATTTTCACTGAGATTCAATTTCAGCCTTTTGTATTTTTTTGTGACAGGGTATCTTTAAGTTGCTGAAACTTGCAATCCTTCTGCCTCAGCTACCCAAGTACCTGGGATTAAAGGCTTGCACTACCACCTTCAACTTTATCTCGTATTTTTATGAATTGCCAAGATCATTGTAATGTCATGTGTAGCTAATAAAAAAAAAAAAAAAAAACCTTTATCTCGTATTTTAAAATACTAAAATGTTTTCCTCCTAAGTATCTTTCTATGCATGATAGAAAGCATCATACATGGTAGAAATCAATGCTGCTTACCCACCTAGAACATTTGCCTTTAAGAAACTAGCTTCCTTTTATTAATTTCATTGCCTGTCATGTTTTCCTTTGTTGTAATCTTTTTTATTCATTTTAAAATCATTTAATAGCCAGGCATGGGAGTGTACAGTTACTGGGGAGATGAATGCAAGAGGAATACAAGTTCAAGGCCAGTCTCATCAATTCAGGGAGACAGGGAGCCTGGGGATGTAGCTCAGTGGTACACTACACCTGGATTCAATTCTCAGTCCAAAAGGAAAAAAAGAAAGAAGTCATTTAGTGTATATGTTTGGCCTTTATCAAGGAATTTGGACATTTATTTTTCCAGAGTCCATCTTGTAATTTTAAGCCTACTATTTTTTAAAAATATTTATCAACTTCTATATCTTTTTTTTAAAAGAGAGTGAGAGAGAGAGAGAAAGAGAGAGAGAATTTTTTAATATTTATTTTTTAGTTTTTGGCGGACACAACATCTTTATTTGTATGTAGTGCTGAGGATTGAACCCAGGCCGCACGCATGTCAGGCGAGCGTGCTACCGCTTAAGCCACATCCCCAGCCCTAAGCCTACTATTTTTAGTCATTTTAAACTGAAAATTATAATTACTTTCTTACCTCAGGAGGGATGATCACAATAAATTAGGAAATTATATTATAGAAAATAAAAAGCAAGATAAATAAATAATTACTATTATATCCACTGAGGAGGACTGCAAGTTTGAGACCAGTCTAAATAACTTAGGGAGACTCTGTCTCAAAATGAAAAATAAAAATGACTGGGAGGTACCTCAGTGGTAAAGTACCCCCAGGTTTGATTCCCAGTACTGCAAAAACAAATACAAGCCCCCCCCCCCCCAAACAAACAAACACACAACAAAATGATTGTACAGAACCAAAGAGAAAACCACCAGATAACATTTTTTTTCAGGCTGCAGAAACCATTTAATCCATTTGTACATAAAGAAACTAGCCCAGAGGGGCACAGGGGCACACTTCTATAATCCCAACTACTTGGGAGGCTGAGGCAGGAGAATAGGAAGTTTAAGGCCAGCCTGGGAAACTGAGTGAACCCTGTCTCAAAATAAAAACTTTCTTAAAAGGGTTGGGGATATATCTTAGTGATACAGCACCCCTGGGTTCCATCCCAGTACTGCAAACAAAGCAAAGGAATGAAAAAAAAAAAGAAACTAGCACAGAGCTGGGTGTGTAGAAACACAACACATTAAATCCTTCCCATCTGTTTTCTCTAGCTTCTCAAAATGTAAAGCAAGTAAAATGGGGTTTAACCAAATCTTTGTCCAAGGAACAGAATTTCTTTAAAAAAATGTATATGTTAAGATCTGCTAGAGTAGAAGATTAGAACAGCATATTATCATCAGATGCTGGAATTCTGACTACTATAAGCAATTGGTTTGAATTTATTTGAACAGTAACTCCTTTAAAATCTACATGATTCATCAAAATTCCCTCCATTCCCAACCAAGACTAATGCCCCATAGAGTTGTCCCAGTCTAGAAAATAATTTGTTACTGATCTATTACCCAATGTACCATTACAGTCCAAGTGCAGATTACAGTGAGTTCCCCTCTACCTGGATTAATGATAATTGGATTTCATTTCTAAACATATCAGAGCTTTCAAAGATTGAAATATACAAATCTTCACTACCCAGGTCTCCTTGCCTGAGCAGGACACAACCAAGTAGTAAGAACATTTATCAAAAAGGGACATATTAGGCTTCACAGGTGCCACGCAAGAATCATAAATGCTTGTTTCACATGATGTCTTCCATTAACCTGAAGCCTTTGGTTTGTTTCTTTCAGCAAACCACTCATCACTTTTATCTGCCGCCATTGCCTACAGAAACAGAAATATACATTTATTCCAAGTCTGAAAAACAATATACACTTTATATCTCACTGCATGTACTATGCACAAAGAAGAAATTGATATTTAAAGAGTGTTCATCCAGTGTATTTTGTTTAATGTGACAGAGATGCTAGTGAATACTGAGCAACCGCTTGGTGATTACCACTCTGCAGAGTTAAGGGCAAAGTCTGTTGGCTGATGAAAGAGCAGGGACCATGCATGCTAGCCTGTGAGGTCTGTGGTAGAACAAAAATCTTTAGTGTCATGAGACTCAATCTGAGACTGAGGCCAAATAAGAGCGGGTATTTAATGTTTTAGCTAGTGGGCCTTGAATGATTCACTTTTTTTAAAAATATATTTATTTTTTAGTTGTAGTCGCGCACAACTACAACTATTTATTTATTTTTAAGTGGTGCTAAGGATCAAACCCAGTGCCTCACGCATGCAAGGCAAGCGCTCAACCATTGAGCTACAACCCCAGCCCAAATGATTCACTTTTTAAAGGCTCCTCCTAGCCTACTCCACCAATATTGGTTCTGTTGGGTTAGTTTTGTGCCTATTAACTCAAACAGAATCCTTGTTAATGAAAGAACTCTTACAAGAGTTCTTTTAGCTGTTTGTTAAGAAAAATACTTAGGCAGCCCAAAAGCAAGTAGGGAAATAGCTTTCTTTAAAAAAAAAAAAAAAAAAAAAAAAGGACAGGGCTGGGGTGGTAGCTCAGTGGTAGAGCATTCGCCTCACACACGTGAGGCCCTGGGTTTGATCCTTACTGCCACCATAAAAAAATAAAGTTATTGCGTTCATCTATAATTAAAAAAATATTTTTTAAAAAATGACAGTTTTCATCACAAGCTAGGTACTAAGCTGGATCAGGTGTGGCTGCTGTGACAAAGTCTCAGGCTTTGGGGTCTATATAGAACAGCCTAGGACTCACATATGGAAACAATTACTTTGCACAGAGAATATGTGTGTGTGAGGCATTCACTATAATACAGCCATGAACAAAGTGGTACCTGACCAACAAGAAACAACTAATTGGAGAAAGTGCAAAAAATACCCATCTACCTTCAGAAGGAAGTCACAAGATGATGTCAGTAATTGAAAATGAGAAAACAAATGTATATAATGTATATATCTTGTTTAGAAACAGTAAAGGTGATGGCAGTCTTGGGTAATGGGTCAAAGATGGGGCAAGACATTATTACATTTCATTTATATAAATCTTAGTACTGGGCTGGGGATGTAGCTCAGTTGGTAGAGTGCTTGCCTTGCATGCACAAGGCCCTGGGTTCCATCCCCAAAACCACAAACAAACAAACAATAAAATCTTAGTATTATCTGATTTATTCTGATGAAAATAAAAGGTGCTTAAAAATCAAAGATATGCTAAAAAGCAACAAAGATTCACAATAGTTGGAATTGCAAAATTTTCTGTCTTTTAGGTACCATAAAAGTGGAGGGACAGAACCCAAGAAACTTTCTTAGTTTTTTGGTTTTTTTTTTTAGATGTTGATGAACCTTTATTTTATTCATTTATTTATATGCGGTGTTGAGAACCAAACCCAGTGTCTCACACATGCTCACAAGTGCTCTACTACTGAACCACAACCCCAGTCCCAGCTCTCTGAGTTTTGAAGCACAAGTTGAAGAACAGGGAAGAGAAAAAAACTCTTTGGGCAAGGCAAGGTTTGGGTTAATATAAACAGTTCAATGGGACTGGAATATGGATAGGTAAGTGACCTTTGGGAGACAGGTAGAATAGATCAGAATAGGGAAGGGCCAGACATGTCCACGTCCTCTGTCAGAGGGTTTGGCATACATCTTGAAAGTACTGGAGAGCTATCAGAAGATTAAACACTTGTAAGAATTACTGGATTGCTGCTGTGGAAAGCTAACACTGGCAGCAAGAAAGGGGGATGTACTGGAAGGTGGGAAGAGGCTTTTGCAGTATTACAGGGGATAATGAGGACATTTTCAAAAATAAAGTTGTCAGACCAAAGACATTCAGAACTCACATCTCTTGGTGACTAAGAGCTAGAAGAATTTAGGAGTGTGAAGAAACAACATACAAATGTGGCTCTGTCTGTACATCTAAAGCTATTTTAAAATAAAAAAACATGTTAAAAACAAAACAACAACATCAAATCAGTCCTGAGGACTGTGGTGTGAACAATTGGGATAAAAGACATACTGTATATACTACCCACAAGAAGAAGCAGGATATAGAGAAAGAAAAAGAATCTACTGTGAAGCCCAAAAGACCTCCACCCAAGCCCCTGCTTGACACTTAGCTGAATGAATGATGTTTATGGCTGAGTGGCTTAATCATTTTTTTTAAATTTATTTTTTTAGGTGTAGATGGACACAACACAATTTCTTTATTTTTAAGTGGTGCTAAGGATTGAACCCAGCTCCTGCCCCTGCTAAGCGAGTGCTCCACCCCTGAGCCACAATCCCAGCCCTGGATTAATCTTTTTGAGCCTCAGTTTTCTCATCTGCAAAGGGGAATGCTATTAATCTTGCAGACTATACTAAGAATTATAGAAAGTACATAAAACACTTAAGAATGTGTCCAAATAAGAGATACTTAATAACAATCTCCATTGAATATTATTAAAAGAAGAATGGATTTTTCTTTTCTTTTTTTCTTTAAGATAAGTTACAGACATGCCGTGGGATCATGGTGAAGAGGCTCACTAGACACAACACTGGTCTGGAACCAAAAGCACTAAATATAAAAAGTGGATAAATGGGCGTCCCTGCTCTTCAAAAGACTCCACTGAGCCGGGAATGTAGCTCAGTGATAACATTTGCCTAGTATGTGCAAGGTCTTGGCTTCAAACCCTAGCACCACCAACAAAATAAAATAAAGAAAATAAAGAGCCAAACCAGAGTGGTAGTACATGCCGGTAATCACAACAACTTGGGAAGCTGAAGCAGGAGGATTGTGAGTTTGAGGCCAGCTTCAGCAACTTAGTGAGACCTTGTCTCAAAATAGAAAACAAAAAGACCTGGGGATGTAGCTCAGTGGTAAAGTGCTCCTGGAATAAATCCCTACACCAAAGACAAAAGAAAACAAAACAGACAAGCCATAGACTAGAAAAAATACTTGCATTTACAGGTATCTACCAAATTACTTATATATAGAATATATAAAGAACTCTAACAAGTCAATAAAAATGAATAAATTAAAATATGGATTTAAATGAGCCTTAAAATAAGAGCAAATATTTAAATAAGAGAAAGAACATTTCAGGAGAATAAAATAATATGAACAAAGACATACAGAGTGAACAATATATTCGTTTTAGAGATTAGTGAATAGCCTAGAATGGTTAAAATGTAAAACAGATCAGAAGTCTACCTTTCAAATCATTTGTCATGAAGTCCACTGGATCAGATAAATTTGTTCTGTACTAATAATACATTCTAATTAAATAAAAACTAGTCACAAAAATGTAGGGCAAACCAACAGTATAAAACCATTTTTCAGACAACAGGGAAATTTTAATAACTGGATTTTTATCCCAGGACTGCCAAAAGAGAGGGAATGAGCACTGGATTTTAGATGACACTGTTGATACACAGTTCCCATCCCAGTGCCAGGGATTGAACCCAGGGCCTTGCACATGCTAGCACTCAACCACTGAGCTATAACCCCAGCCCACACTGTATATTTTTTAAGGGTGACAATGTCAACAATGGTTTATAAGAAAATTGTTTAGGGCTGGGGATGTGGCTCAAGCGGTAGCGCGCTCGCCTGGCATGCGTGCGGCCCAGGTTCGATCCTCAGCACCACATACAAACAAAGATGTTGTGTCCGCCAAAAACTAAGAAATAAATATTTAAAAAAAAAAAAAAGAAAATTGTTTAATTCCTACTTCCTTATATTGTCATAAAAAGTACGAAATACTTAAGTATTTTAGAAATTTAAAAAATGGTATGTTAATCTGAGATTTGTCTTAGAAATCCCCAGCCAAAAGAAAAAAACAAAAGAAAATCAGGACTGGGGATTGAAGGAAAGAATGATAAAAATAACTATGGCACAGAGGTGATGGGTGAGAGTCACCCAGGGATTTGTTGTACTTTTCTTTAGTCATCAGGGAAATACAAATTAAAACCAAAACAAGAAACAATCTTTCAACTGTTAGAATGGCTAAAACCCAGAAAACAAAAACCCCAAATGTTGGTGAGGATATGGAGAAACTGGAATGCTCAAACACCTACAGTACTTCCCCCTTATCCTTAGGTGATACCTTCCAAGACCCCTAGAGGATGCCAGAAACTGTAGATAGTACCCTATAATTTAGTGCTTTCCTATCTTAACTAGGCACTTACTTTGTCCTATGGCAATAACTTGCATTTTGAAATACAAAAGCAAAACTAATACAAATATCTTTTTACTTCTTCAAATTTTATAGATAAAAGATTTGATCGTATTGTTATCTTGGAATCTCAGCATGTTTTTTTTTTTCTTTCCTTATTAATCAAGAATCTTTACCTTTTCACCTAAAAGAAGCACTGTGAAGCTTCTCTTTGGCATAATGAAATTGCCAACATCACTACTTTTGTGCTTTGAGGACATTATTAAGTAAAATAAGGGTTGCTTGAACTCAAGCACTGCTATATCAAGGCACTTAATCTAAAAACCAAGATGGCTACTAACTGACTAATGTGAGAGGAGTGTATACAAGTGGCTACACTGGATAAAAAGATGATTCAAGTCCTAGGTGGAACAGAACAGGACAACAGGAGATATCATTATGCTACTCAGAACAGTGTGCAATTTCAAATGTATGCACTGTCTCTTTCTGGAATTTTCCATTTAATATTTTTGGAAACAAGAGACTATAGGTAACTGAAATCATGTGAAAAGAGAAATTGCAATTAAGAAGGACTACTATAGTATAATTACTATGAATAGCTATTTGGTACTTTTGGATAAAGTAAAAGCAATTCTACTAAGAATTTACCTGAGACATAAAACATGTATCTACAAGAAGATTTAAACAAGAATGTTCATAGCAGTCTTCTTTTTAGGAGATAAACATCTGGAAACAGCTCAATTACATAACATTGAAAGAATCAATAAACAACTGTTATAAAGGTGAATACTATTCAATGAGAAAACAAACAAAAAAGAAATAAACTATGATGTATGTAACTACATGAAGGAATCTCAAAAATGTTGAAAGAAAGAACCGTGTATAAAAGAATACCTACTGAGTGATTCTATTTGTATGAGTCCAAGAACAAACAAAACTAATCTATAGTGCCAGAAATCAGAATAGCACTTGCCTCTGGAAAAAGTGGTCAAGAAAGATGTGAAGAAGGCAGAATCTCAAACTCTAATACCAAAGAAGAGAGTTTAAGAGAAGGGAAAGTTTGTAGATGGCATGAAAGAACAAGGAGGAAGTCCAGCAAAAAGTTGCCTGAGATTCTAGTTTCCTGCATAAAATTTACAAAAGATGTATCTGTATCTTCTTACACATTTCCTGCTTTAGTCTATGGTTTGCTGAGCTTTAAAAACCACAGAAAAATCCCATGAAGCAGATATTCTTACTTTCTCAGATTGTTAGATAAAGAAGCAGTAGTTCAAAGAATTTAAGTAAATTGTTTAAGATCATTTATATAGATATTAAAATGACAGAACTGGGATAGACTAATGAATTCCTTCAATCATTCAATAATGTATTTAGAGATAAGCCAGGTAAGATAAGTAGTGGCATGTGCCTATAGTCCCAGCTACTTAGGAGGCTGAGGCAGGAGGATCACTTGAACCCAGGCATTTGAGACCAGCCTGGGCAACAACTGCAAGACCCTATCTCTCTCTCTCTCTGTCTCTCATATATACATACACACAGAGTATTCAGAAAACCTTTACTACATGCTAGATACAAGAAGTCTGAGTAATTCCTTTGAAGATTGCTTGGAAAAAAATTTTAATACAAAATTTTTCATTTTAATACAAAATTTAAAATTGTAAATACCAAAACAAAACAAAACTAACTTTTTTTAAAATCTTTTTTTTTAGAGGGTGGTACTGGGAAGTGAACCTAGGGCTTTACACATGTTATGTAAACACAATACCCCTGAGCTACTTCCCCAGCCCTTTTATTTTTATTTTGAGACAAGGTCTCTGTAAATTTCCCAGACTGTCCTTTAACTTTCAATCTTCCTGCCTCAGGCTCTCAAATAGCTGGGACTATAAGCACATACTACCATACCTGGCTGAAAAATCAAGTTTGATGAAAATAAAAAAGAAGTTTCTGGATTTGGCAAGATGGAAGTCCCAAAGATGTCAACATCAGCAAATATTTGAGTGACAAAGAGTTACTGCAGAATAGAGTGAAGTATAAATGGAGAGTAAAAAGTAGAAACTGTGTGCAAATTTTTAAAGAAGAAATCTAGGGCTGGGGTTGTAGCTCAGCGGTAGAGTGCTTGCCTCTCATGCGTGAGGCCCTGGGTTTGGTGCCCAGCACCACATAAAAATAAAAATATTGTGTCCATCTACAACTAAAAAAAAAGGAGCGGGGGAAGGAGGGGGAAGAGGGGGAGGAAAAGAAGGAGAAGGAGGAGGAGGAGGAGGAGGAGGAGAGGAGGAAGGGAGGAAGAGGAAGAAGGGGAGGAGGAAGAAGGGGAGGAGGAAGAAGGGGAGGAGGAGGAAGGGGAGGAAGGGGAAGGGGAGGAGGAGGAGGAGGAAGAGGAAGAGAAGAGGAAGAGGTAGAGGAAGAAGAAGAAATCTATAGCCCAGTGTGGTGGCACACACCTATAATCCTAGCAGCTTAGGAGGCTGAGACAGGAGGATGGCAAGTTCAAGGCTAGATTCTGAAGATGTAGCCCAGTCATAAAGGTCCCTTGGGTTAAATCCCCATTACCAAATATAAAGAAAAAAGAAAGAAAGAGAGAAATTTATAAAGAAATCCAAAGAAAGGATATGGAGTTAATACAAAGCTTAAAAGATGGGAACTATTGGAGCTTGCTTGTATGCTGATGAGAACAATTCACTAGGAAGACAGACTGAGCTGCTGAATGGAAGAGAAGACCAGAAACCTAAGAAAGTGAGACGGAGCTGGGGCTGGGGCGCTGGGGTTGTATCTCAAGGGGTAGAGCGCTCACCTAGCATGTGTGAGGCACTGGGTTCGATTCTCAGCACCACATAAAAATAAAAGCATTGTGTTGTGTCCATCTACACCTAAAAAATAAATATTAAAAAAAAAGAAAGAAAGAAAGAAAGAAAGAGAATGAGATGGGATGGTATCTTGGCATTCCCACACTTACTGAGCAGAATAATATTGTATACAGCAGCAGTGGTTCTCTAAGACGCCTGAGTCTACATAAGGGGTCATACAGGTAACAATGAAGACACAGGTCCCTGGCTAAAAAGTCACCCCAACAGCAAAAGGATGTGGTTCAGACATAAGAACCTGGACCCTACTGCTTTGGCCCTTTCCCATATACATTTATGCCTTCCCCCTTAGGCCTATGGTGACATAATATAGAAATAAGACTCACTGGCTAGGGTCATAGCACACTGGTAGAGCACTTGCTTAGCATGTATGAGGCATAGGGTTCAATTCTCAACACCGCATATAAATAAATAAAAAATAAATAAAGGTCCATTGACAACTAAAAAATATATGTTAAAAAAAAAATCAGACTCACATCATCCAATAATTTGCTTCCCTCTGGATCCATTTTAGAAAGTTCTCGAAATGCTTCATCCCCAACAAAGCAAATTTCATGTCCATCCTATACCAATAAATAGAAAAGCAATTTGTAAAAAGACATCTCTGAAGAAACCCATGGTAAAGCCTGTCTCCTTGCTCAGTAATACTTACAGGGTCAGCCAGAATCACTACTTGTACTGTGGCCTTCCCTGGGGTATCCAGACTCACCAAGGGAGTCAGTATCGTCTGGTTCTCCTTTTTCATTAAGTCTTCTAAGTCTGGCAACTTGAGAAAAAGAAGGCAAAGTGAGCAAGGATCACATACTACTTTTATGGCAAGGATCAAATACTCGTTAGCTCCAGATGAGTATCTGATCAGAAAGAACCATGGCACCAATTGTTTGATTTTATTATCTTAATGGCTCTTAAAATAACTGTTGAACTTGATTCCAAAGCGACAATCAGAATGAACCTGAAGAAGGAAGGCCAAGGTCCTCAGCTGAGTGGAACCAGCTAGTCACAGAGATTAAACAAAAGTCAGGTGATCTAACATTACCTCTTTATGGGGACAAGAAAAGGCAATTCTTCCAAAAGCTGCTGCATGGTCAACTGCACCCTTGATGCCCTGCAGCTCCAACTTACACTGAGAAGAAAGAAGAGAGTTTATGCTTCTGGACAGGTTATACATGCATATGGTAACAAAATTCAAACAGTGGGGCGAGGGATGTAGCTCAGTAGTAAAGTATTTGACTAGCATGTTTAGACCCTGGGTTTGATCCTAGATCCCCAGCACATTAAAAAAAAAAAAAAAAAAAAAAAGTTAAAGAGTACTAAAAGAAGTAAAAACAAAGTCTTCCTCCTACTTTCACCCAAGAAGCTACCAGTCTCCAATGTCCAGAGTTTTCTTCTAGGCACATTTTGTGTGTGTATGTGTGTGTGTGTGTGTTTTGTTTTATATAAATGGCAACCCAATTTACAAGTTATTCTATCATTTGTTTTCTTTACTTAACATTACCACATACCAGTACATAAAGATTTGCCCCAGGCTTTTCAATAGCTATATAATAATCCATTCTGTTTTTTTTTGTATTGTTTTTGTTTTTTGTGAGGGGGTTTTTTGGTACTGGTGATGGAACCCTTGTGCATAGTAGGCAAGTCTTCTTCCACTGACCTACATCCCCAGTATCCTATTCTATGGATTAATTATACAGTTTTTAAATATTCGTCTAATCCACAGGACCTGAAGATTCCTATCTTTTCCTACTACAAACAATGCTACAATAGATAACCACAAACACACTTCTTTGTGCATGTATATGCTGAGTACATCTATTAAAAAACAGACCCCAGGGCTGGGGTTGTGGCTCAGCGGTAGAGCCCATGCCTAGCATGTGCGAGGCCCTGGGTTCGATCCTCAGCACAACATAAAAATAAATAAAAGTATTATGTCCAACTACAACTAAAAAGTAAATATTAAAAATATATATAATACGGGCTGGGGTTGTGGCTCAGTGATAGAGCACTTGCTAGCACATGTGAGGCGCTGGGTTTGATCCTCAGCACAACATAAAAAGAAATAAAATAAAGGCATTATGTCCAACTACAATTAAAAAAAAAAAAAAAAAAAAAATATATATATATATATATATATATATATATATATATATATATATATATATATATATATATATAAAAAACAATCCCAGCTACTTAGGAGGCTGAGGCAGGAGGATCACACTTGGCCAGCCTGGGCAAATAATAGAGATCCTGTCTCAAAAAACAAGACAAAACACAACCCCCAATAAGGGCAGGAATGTCACTTAGTGGTAAAGTAGTTGCCTAGCATGTATAAGACCCTGGGTTTAACCCCAAGTGCCACCAGAAAATAAAATATCCAAGAAGTACAATTGCTGGGCCAAAGTATAAAGACTAAATCAGGTTCAAATGCTAGGTTACTAAGTATATATATATTTACATATATAAAAACAGATCACGCATTAATTCTTGTTTGTGTCTAAGAAATTCCACCTCCTATAATGTGTTGGCCGTGCTGGGGATAGAACCCAGGGCCTTTCATGTTAGGCAAAGGCCTTTCACTGCTCTACCACTATGCCATATCCCAGCCTATTCCACTTCAAAACAGATATATTCCCAAATAGAAACAGAAATAATATCTGAGTGGTGAGATTATCACTAATTTTTATTTTATTCTTTCTGTCTGTATAAACATTGAATCAGGGCTGGGGTTGTAGCTCAGTGGTAGAGCATGTGTGAGGCGCTGGGTTCAATCCCCGGCACCACCACATTAAAAAAAATAAAATAAAAATATTGTGTCCACCTACAACTATAAATACATACATACATAAATAAATTTTGAGTCACTGTGAAGAACTATGGGAACAACCTTCATGTTCCCCTTATTTATAAAACAAACTCAAAGAAACAAGTTATTTTTTTCCAAGATCACTTACCTGGTTATCAGCATAGCCCAGCAAAGCCCTTTGTTTCTCTTCATCTTGTTCATAAATTTTCATTCCCAGTAGATTAGACCAGTAGTGCAAGGACTTCTGAAGATCAGACACTGCAAGAGTTACTTTCAATACAGGATCTGTAAAGTAATAAATCAGCAGGAATAGATAGGTCATTTTGGTACAACAGATTAAAAAGACCAAGCTGGGCATGGTGGATTGCAAGTTCATGGTCAGCCTCAACAATTTAGAGAGACCCTCAGCAATTTAACAAGACCCTGTCTCAAAATAAAAAACAAAATGGGCTGGGGGTGTAGTTCAGGATTACTGGTTTCAAACTCCAGCACCACAAAAATACATATATACAAAAATAGGCTTAGGGCTGGGGAGATAGCTCAGTTGATAGAGTGCTTGCCTTGCATGCACAGCCCTAGGTTCAATCCCCAAAACAAAACACTCAATCATATATAAGAATTTAGTTAATGGGGGTGGGAATATTCCTTAGTAGTAAAGTGTATGCTTTGCATATGTGAAGCTCATGGTTTGATATCCCCCAAAAGAATTTAGTTTATGATTTAAAAAACGATTTTAAATCAGTATGAAAGGGCACCTTATTCAATAGACGACACTAATTTAATTGGTTAATCAATTGGTGGGGAAGAGGTATGTATTTGAACTAAATAGAAAATTAAATGCATTCCTAATGGGTTAAAGGGATCAAGTTTAAAGAATAAAACTAAGAAAATACTAAATACAGGTGATGATTTATACAATTTTAGATTGGAGGATGATTTTTATTTAAATATGACACCAAAGATAGAAAAACCATGAAGAAAAAAAGCCTGCCAGGTTAACTACACAAAATGGGAAAATCCTAGACAATAAGAACTAAAAGAAGAATTCTAGGGCTGTGGATGTAGGTCACTGGTAAGGTACAGGCCTAGCATGTACAAGCCCTGGGTTGAATCTTGAATGCTCCTTGTCCCCCAAAATAATTAATAATTAAGATTAAAAAGTAAAGAATTGGGCTGGGGTCGTGGTTCAATGGTAGAGCGCTTGTCTAGCATGTATGAAGCACTGGGTTCGAATCTCAGCACCATACATGAGTAAATATAGTCCATTGACAACTAAAAAAAATAAAGAATTAGGAAAAAATTTTTGCTATACATAGGACAAACATTAATATGAAAATCATATTTAAGTACCAATGAGAAAAAGGTGAACAGCCTAGAAAAATTGGCAAAAGGTGCAAAGCAGATATCCACATGAGGAGGAACTGCAATGGTCAATGAACATGAAAAACTTATTCAACCTCACAAATCATCAAAGAAATTTAAATTCATATAAAATATTTCATCTAACTGGCAAATAATTTGGTTTTTCATTATTATTATTTTTATTTTTGTTCTCTTGGCAAACAATTTTAGTTTTTTCACATTGTTTGAATTAAACCCACGTCCCCAGCCCCAGGAAAATAATTTAAAAAGTAGTGTTAACTGTGTGTGTGTGGGGGGAGCGGGCAGGGGTCACAATCATAGAGTACTGATAGAGTGTAAATTAATACATTTCTGGTCAACAATTTGATAACTGCCTCACATGTATGAGGACTGGGTTCCATCCCTGGCACTGCTTTAAAAAAAATAACAGTATTCTTGACAGAATGTATCAAAATCTTTAAAAATGTACATTATTAAAAGAGCAAGTCCAGTTTCAGCAATTCAAAAAGTAATTGTGGATGTATGAAGGTCTTTCATCACAAAGACACTTGTCAGTGTTGCCCAAAAAATGAAACACTGGGAATAACATAAACATTCAACAATAGAGAATTGTTTATCTTCCTACAATGTGATAATGCAATGGAATTCTTGAAATGGATAATGAAGACAGATCCTGTCTAAAATAAAAAAGGGCTGGGGATGGGGCTCGGTTGAACCTTGGGTTCAATCACTGGTACCAAAACAAAACAAATCAACAAGTCCCAGTTGATTCAGAACCTGAAGGAATGCAGGAACAGGAATGGGAATAAGTTTTTGAAACTAAACAGGAATGAATAATTCAAACAAAGGATGGATGCCAGCTAGACTTCTACTTCTCTTACAATGATGGGTTCAGCAGCAAGCACAGTGTATTAAATCTGACCAGGAAGTTAGCTAAAAGATTCCAAGAAAGTTCTGCACAAAGAACAGTAAGAACTTGGTTTCCTGACCCCTGCCCAAGTGAATGTGTGACAACATGTAGCCCTAACTGCTACTGGCAGCAGATTTAACTCCATTACCAAAAGAAAATTAATGCCCCAAGGATGTTATCATTACCTCCCAAGGAGGACAAAAACAGTATCTAAAACACTTGGGACTCTAAGTGTTTCAGATTTTCAGGTTTTAGAAAATTTGCACAGACTTTTACTGGTTGATCATCCCTGATCCAAAATGCTCTGAAATCTGAAACTTTCTGAGTGCAGATATGACGTTCTAAGTATGATGTTTTGGATTTCAGAACATTTGGAATTTTTGGAATAGGAATACTCACCTGTATTGAATAACTACTAAGATTAGAGGATGAAAAAAAAAGTATGATGGATTTAGTTGCAGAAATTATGGTTTAAAATAGTATTCAGGGGCTGGGGATGTGGCTCAAGCGGTAGCGCACTCGCCTGTCATGCGTGCGGCCCGGGTTCGATCCTCAGCACCACATACAAAGATGTTGTGTCTGCCAAAAACTGAAAAATAAATATAAAAAAAATTCTCTCTCTCTCTCTCTCTCTCTCCTCTCTCTTAAAAAAATAAGTTCTTAGTTTAAAAAAAAAAAAATAGTATTCAGACCAACCACAGTGACACATGTCTGTAATCCCAGCAACTGGGGAGGCTGAGGTAGGAGGACTGTAAGTTTGAGGCCAGCCTCAGAAACTTAGGGAGACCCTGTCTCAAAATAAAAATAAATAACAATGAGAAAGGGATAAAGATGTGGCTCAGTGATAGAGTAGCCCTAGGTTCAATCCCTAGCAGCAAAAAAAAAAAAAAATGAAAATAATAAAGTCAGTATATAAAGCAATAATTGCCTGTCAAAAAAAAAAAAAAAAAAAAAAACAACACAGCTAGGAATAGTAGTTCATGCCAATAATCCTAGCAACTGGAGAAGTTGAGGCAGGAGGACCACAAGTTCAAGGCCAGCCTCAGCAACTGAACAAAGCCCTAAGCAACAAAGTGAGATTCTGTCTCAAAAAATAAAAAGGGGATCTAGCTCAGCAATAAAGTACCCCTTGGTTCAATCCCCAGTACCAAAACAAAAGAAAACAATGACAAAAATGCTTTCTGCATCATGTCCCAAATGCTGAGTCTAATTTTAGTTTTCAGTGCTATTTGTTTTTCATCATGCTCAGCAAAAAGAAAGACCAATCCTTTCTGATGTGGGAGGGTAGACCAGCTGTGTAGGACTTATTGCAAGCTGGTATTTCTGTACTTCATTGATGATTGAAGGGTTTTTTTTGTTTTTTTTATTTTCTGTATGGGGGAATTGAACCCAGCATGCTTTACCATGAGCTACATCCCAAGTCCTTTTTATTTTGAGACAAGGTCTTGCTAAGTTGCTGAAGGCTTTGCAAAGTTACTGAGGCTGGCCTTCAATTTGCAATCCTCCTGCCTCAACTTCCAGAGTTGCTGGCATTACAGACATGTATTACCACACCTGGCTTGGAAAAAAGAATTTATATGGCTCATGTCAAGTCACCTACAGGCATGTGTTCACTGAGTGAAATGGCAGGCAGAATTGTCCTTGCTCTTTACCAGCCTCCTCCTGCCCTGCACTGCTACCACCTCACCCTTTTTTTTTTTGCTTTTGTGTTGGCAAAGAGGCAGTTGAATTTATAGGAATTAAGTATACATGATGAAGCTGTCACTATCTTGAAAAAACACACCTTGTGAGATTTCTTTCCTGCTTTATGTGACAGGCAGTGTGGTGAACTCCTCACTTCTGTTTCATCGTTACCAAGTACCAGCATAGAGTTTTGGAAACTAACCTCAGCTCAAGTGGTGTGTCTAGGAATAATCCTACTTCTCTTACAATGATGGGTTCAGCAGCAAGCACAGTGTATTAAATCTGACCAGGAAGTTAGCTAAAAGATTCCAAGAAAGTTCTGCACAAAGAACAGTAAGAAGTTGGTTTCCCGACCCCTGCCCAAGTGAATGTGTGACAATATGTAGCCCTAACTGCTACTGGCAGCCATCCTATCATCAAGAGGACTTAGCTCTAGGAGAAATACACTGAAGAAAATAGAACATTTTAGAGAAAACTTGGGTAGTGACACTGATATTTTTTCTACTAGAATACCTGCTCTGTGAGCTAAAAATTTTTCCTATCATTCAAATTAGTCTGAGTTGGGTTTTCTGTTATTTGTAACTGAAAGAATCATAAGTAGGTGCATTACCAATAGTACAAAACCAGTCTAGATTCCCTGTTGACTAATGTTCTAACATGATAATATAATTACTCAGAAAACAGGTAAGAGCACTGGCTTGTGAAGGACATGTCATATCAAAACAAAAAGACTCCATAGCAGTAAGAAATCCCACTCCCTCTCTTCTTTCATCAAAGGTGGCTTTAGACAGGTGCTCTGGTTTGGATCTGGAATGTCCCCAAGGCTCAAGTGTTGAAGACTTAGTTCTCAATGCAGCAAAAGTCCCACTCAGAGGTGGGACTTTCGGGAAGTGATTGTCTCATGAGGGCTCTAACTTCATCGGTGGACTGGTCCATTAATGGGTTTAATAATCTGATGGTATTATGAGGAGGTAGTGAAACTGTAGGATGTAGGGTCTAGTTGAGAAATTAGGTCACTAGGGACACACCCTGGAAGGGCAATTCTTGTCCCTGGCCCCTTCCTGTTTCTCAGTTCTCTGCCATGAACTGAGAAGCTTCCCTTGGCCATACCCTTTCATCATTATGTTCTGCCTCATCTGAGGCTCAAAGCAACCATGGACTGAAACTTCTGAAACTGAGTCAAAATACACTTTTCCTCCTTTAAGTTGTTTATATCAGGTATTTTGGTCATAACAACAAAAAGCTGAATAACACAATAGGTTTTTACTCATCCTGATGTAATTACCTGACTGAAGTAGACTGCGATTCTGCAAATAGAATTTATATCCTCCTGGGGCCTCAATTTCAAAAACTCCTTCTGCAACTTCACTGAGTGGCCACTCCAGCTTCCTGGCATTGCTGACAGCCTGGCTAGAAGCAAGTGTGATTCCCTATAACAAACAATGAACACACCCACACATATAATCACAACAGATCTTTTACAGAACAAGGAGCCAAAGTCCACTGACTCTAGGTCAAATTACTTAAGATTTAATTGGCATTCCAAAATTTTCTTCCATTAATTGCAAAGTATGTTTTGGATGTTTTCCTCCCACAAAGATTCAGATGTTTTTGGATCACAGAAGAGAAATTCAAATGTCAGTAAAGTATATCTATTCAAATATTCAAGATCTAGGGCTGGGGGTACCGTGGTACCGTGCTTGTCTAGTATGTACAAGGCTCTTGGTTCAATCCTCAGTTGAAAACCAACAAACAAAAAAATATTTTTTCAAGATGAAGCCAGAGAAATCTTGATTTTTCCTTGGCCTGTCAGCTACCTCTTCTGAGATTTTTATTTATTTATTTATTTATTTATTTATTTATTTATTTATTTATAGGCATGGTCTGGTTATGTAGCCTAAGCTGGGCTTGAACTTGGCAATATTCCTGCCTCAGCCTCCTGAGCCATTTTTTTTTCTTTAAGTTGTAGGTGGACACAATATCTTTATTTTTATGAGGTGCTGAGGATCAAATCCAGTGCCTTATACATGCAAGGCAAGTGCTCTACCATTGAGCCACAACCCCAGCTCCTAATTTTTGCTTTTTGTTTTAAAATATTTATTTTTTAGTTGTAGTTGGACACAATACCTTTATTTATTTTTTATGTGGTGCTGAGGATCGAACCCAGGGCCCCACACTTGCTAAGCAAGTGCTCTATTGCTGAGCCACAACCCCAGCTCCCAATTTTTGCTTTTTATTTTAACTTTTTCTATTTAGAATTTATTTTAAATTTAGGGCTTCCTGGTATTTGGCTTATTTGCAAATGTTGGTAGTAATGATAACGTAGTCTTCATTTTTGTGTAAAATAGGTAGAGAACCCAAATTTGAGGGGGAATAATGCAAACAAAACAATATAACATTTATATGAGGCCAAGAGGTAAGATCCTGAAGCTATGATGAGAGCCCAATATGTCTCTACTGAAACTTTGGGGTTTGCAGGCACCCCCCAGGACAAGGGAGTATACTGCCCACTCCCATGTCCCCAGGAGGGGAGTCCTATATGGAAATAATGGCCACCTCTGGGGTGCAGCTTCTGAGGTTCTGCCTCTGCAAGCAGAGCCTGGGCATCTGATAAGGACAGGTTCCAGCCCAGGACCAATTTTTGCTTTTAAAACAACAAAAAATTAAACAATTAATGAACTTTAAATTTACTCAAGTACTCAATAATGTACACTTGGGTCTCCTGAAAAGGCCAGCCTCATTTCTTTTTTAAATAATTTTTTTAGTTGTAGATGGACAGAATATCTCTATTTATTTATTTTTATGTGGTGCTGAGGATCAAACCCAGGGCCTCACACATGAGAGGCAGGTGCTCTACCACTGAGCTACGGCCCCAACCCCTGCCAGCCTCATTTCTAATTTGGACTATAATAGTCTCTGCTGCAATCTGATTAATTCATCACCCACTGTGCAGCCACAGTAAACTTTCCAAAATGCACCCAATAGCCTGTTTTCAAGATAGCTCCTGGACCTTGCTTTCTCCTCTGCTCAAAACCCTCAATAGCTCTTCATTTCACTCAGATGGATTATAGTGGCCTAAAAAGGTTCAATCTAATCTGACCCCATCTCCTACCACCTTTCCCTGGTGTTCTCCATTCCAGTCACCCTGGTTTCCTTGCATTTCCACATGGCTAACTCCCTTACTTCCTCGGAACCTTTGCTCCAATGTCACTTCCTCATGGATTCACGGACTCAACAAATTCAGATTAAACAAGTCATCTACCCTAGCCAAAAATCTACTGGGATAGAGTGATATTTACCATGAAGTCATTGCCCAGCTTGTAGTCTCCAATGCCATAATTGTAAGTCAGCTCTGCAACAAAATGATCATCCTCAGGCCCAAATCCCACCATTGTTTTACTCCATTTCCCATCATAAGGCCTAGAAAAATGAAAGTAAATGAACCCAGTGACCATAGGCAAAATCTGCTATAGTCCTCCCTCAGAGAATTATGGGGCACAGAATGGTGGGCAATCCCTTCTGGTCCCAAAAGTTCTCATAAGGTTATGATGACCTCAGGAGTTGCTGAGAACAGCTGAGGGCAGTGCTCATGGGCCCCAACTACAAGCTTCAAAGATCTTCTGTTTAGCACTTTACTGGAAGGAAAGATTCATTTACACCTTCTTTTTTGGCAATGGGGATTAAATCCATGGTCTTGTGAATGGTAAGCATTAGATAAGTACTCTACCACTAAGCTATATCCCTAGCCCTTTAAATATTTTAATTTTGAGACAGGGTCTTGCTAAGTTGCCCAGGCTGGTCTCAAACTCGTAATCCTCCTGCCATATCCTCCTTAATAGCTGGGGTTAAAGGCATGTTTGTTCACTTTTCTTTAAAGCAGAAAGTAGAATCCTAAAGAAAAAAATAATACTAATTTCCAACCTAAGTTCCTAAGTTCTGAACTTAGTTTGTTTATTTGTATATCAATCAACAAGCACACAAATCCCAACAGGCCAATTTTTCAACTTGATGTGGCTATTAAACTTAAAAGATACTCAATAACCAATGTTTTATCCAGAGCACATATTTGTGTTTATGGTGTAATATATCTAATTCCTGTCACAGAGGTCCTAAAATCCTTGGAATTTCCTGGTATTGGGGTATCTTTCCTAGTAAGTCCTTTCCATAATGCCTGAGTTTATGATAATGAACTGTCTTAGAGTGGGGCCCTTAGAGAGCCCTAGAATAGGGCTGACTCCATAAAAATCAAGTAATTAAAGGGTTTGAAGTTTCAGCCCCACTCCCCTTTGGGAAGGGGAAGGGTTAGAGATTAAGCTCTAATAATCTGTGTAAAACTACTGAACAACAAAACTAGATGAGCTTCTGGGTTGCTGAACACATGGAAGTACTATGAGGGTGTATATCCAGAAAGAATATGGAAGCACCACACCTCCTTTCTCCCATATTCTGCTCTATGCACCTCTCCTACTTGGCTGTTCCTGAGTTACAACCTTTATAATAAACCAGTAAATAAAAGTAGTGTTTCTCTGAATTGTGAGCCTTTCTAGCAAACATGTGAACTTGAAGAGGTAGTCATGGAAACCTCCAATTTATAATTTCTGGTAAATCAGAAATAGCAGAGGCCCAGACTTGTGCTGCGCAGCTATATTGGGGTAGTCTTGTGGGAATGAGCCTTTTATTTGTGGGATCTGACACTAACTTCAGGTGGACAGATTAAGAATTTAGTTAAACAGTAGGACACCTACCTGGTATTGGGAGAGTTGGAGAAATGCCTGGTTTATCAGAAGTGCTATGTGAGAGTGCAGAGAAACAGGATGGTTTCCCCAGTGTTCTTCAAGTTACCTCCCTGATTTACTGACTCCTTCATTTATTCCATTTATAGTCACTTTGAGAAACTGCCTTCTGTTCTCCTGGGGGTATTCAGAGCCTACAGGAGATTTAAGATACAAGATGTCATACCCATTACAGGCAGCTTTGCAGCCTTCTTCAAATTCCTCATGCCGCAGAACCTGGAAAGGGAATTAAAATAAATTGTAAGGTTTTACTAGTACTGCACATAGTATATTTAGCACAAACTAAAAGGTCAAAACACAGACATTATCATTTGTAAACTTTGTTTAAAAAAAAAAAGGAAAGGACGGAGAGAAGAAGAGAAGGAAAAAGGAAGAAAAAGAAGAAAGGAAGGAAAGAAAAGCTTTATACCTTTCCCAAGCTAGAAGAGGTAAGGGAGAGCAGCTTGACACCAAACTGCGAGCAAGCCAAGTTGTAAAATTCTACCTAGATTGGGAAGCAGTGCTGAGATGGAAAAAGTGTGGTTTTTCAGCATCAGAAAAATCTGATTTGCAATTCTGGTTCTCATCTAGCAGTGTGTAATTCTGAGCAAGCTACTTAGGCTTGGAGTCTGTCTCCTCATGTGTTGGTGAAAATGGGTAACTTGTTAAAGCATCTACCATAGAACCTAATATGCATTAGATTCTCAATGTCTTAATTTCTGTCCCCCCCCCTTTTTTTTTTGTACCAAAAACGGAAAAGACACTTTACTATTCAGCTACATTCCCTGTTTAAATTTTGAGACAGGGTCTGGCTAAATTGCTGAGGTTGGCCTTGAAATTGAAATCCTCCTGCCTCAGTTTCCGAAGTCCCTGGGATTTCAAACATGCACCACCATGCCCAGCACTGTTTTCCTTTTCGATTCCATGGCTACTGTTTTAGTTGAAGCTCCCATCATCTCTTCCAAAGACTACTATTAGGCCGGGCACAGTGATACACATCTGTAATCCCAGGAACTCAGGAGGATTCCAAGTTTGAGGTCAGCCTCAGCAATTTAATGAGATTCTCTCAAAATGAAATGGGCTGGGGACATATCTCAGTAGCAAAGTGCCCCTGGGTTCAATCCCCAGAATCAAAGCAAAACAAAACACAGAACAAAACAAAACTCTACTAATCTTCTTCCATTATACCACCATAAAAGTGTATCACTAAAGAACACTTCTGCCGGGTGCAGTACATGCCTGTAATCTCAGCAGCTCAGGAGGCTGAGGCAGAAGAATCTTGAGTTTAAAGCCAGCCTCAGCAATTTAGCAAAGCCCTGAGCAACTCAGTGAGACTCTGTCTCTAAATAAAATACAAAAAGGGCTAGAGATGTGGCTCAGTGGTTAAGTGTCCCTGGGTTCAATCCCCAGTACAAACCACAAACCATTTCTGATTACATCACTGCCTTATTTAAAAAAAAAAAAAAATTGGGGGCTGGGGTTGTGGCTCAGTGCTCTTAGCACGTGTGAGGCCCTGGGTTTGATCCTCAGCACCACATACAAATAAACATTTTAAAAAAAATTGATCTCCCTATTTACTGAAGCATCAAATCCAAATTCTCAAGCCCAGTATTCAATACACTTTCAGAAGCAATCCCAATCTATTTGCCTTGCTATCCCATCTCTTCAACTTCAAGTAGATAAAGGCACATAAATAGTGGTGTTTCCAAACATATCTTTGCATCATCTACTCAGTTCTTCTAGTATAACTCATTCCTTCCTCTGATTTTGATCCTTGGAAATACTATTTCTATATTCTATAGGTCAACTTGAATGTACAGTCTTTATGTATTATTCCTTGATGACTCAGGTTAGAAAACCTTGCCTTTTTAATTTTTCTAATACTTCTAGAACATACATATATATCTAAGGGTCAAATGCTTTCTAGATTTAAAAAAATTCATTTAGTTGTAGATGAACACATAGTATCTTTATTTATTTTTTATATGGTGCTGAGGATGGAAGCCAGTGCTTCACACACATGTGAGGCACACGCTTTACCACTGAGCTACAGCCCCAGCCCCTCAAATACTTTTTTTTGGTGGTGGTGCTGAGGATTGAACCCAGGACCTTGTGCATGCAAGGCAGGTACTCTACCAACTGAGCTATATCCCCAGCCCTCAAATACCTTCTAAATAACATGTATAATCTTCACAACAGCCCTTTAATCAATGAGGGAAAACAGTAAATAGAGCTTTGTGGTTTTCTGCTATCATTTACTAAGACATTAATTCTGACTTCTACTACTTTTAGCTAGGTACAAATTCAATCCCCATCTCCACCTCACCCCTGACCATGAGCTCTAGTTGTGGCTAGATATCAAAATCTTTTGCAAGTCTGTCATCAAAACTCAACACAGTACCCTGAAAAAATATTTCACTGTACTAAACCTCAACCCTTTTTTGAGACAGGGTCTCACTAAATTGCTCAGGCTGGCCTTGAACTTGTGATCCTTCTGTCTCAGCCTCCTGAGTAGCTGGGATTACAGGCCTGCACCATCCTGCGGTCACTGCATATATTTTTTTAAACCACTGATGTACTCAGGTAACTCCCTTTGTACTCCGGGTCTTCTGTACTGTTTCTACACAAAACCACCCTTGGCTCTAACAATGCCTTCAACACTGGTGTGTACTCTCCTTCCCTGACTTACTAGGAGTTCCCTAAAAACCTCCTTCCATGTTCTCAGGTGAGTGACCCCTGAACAATCACAGCTTCTCAGAGCTGGAGACATGCAATTTGATGAAGGCAGTGGGGAAGAGAATGGATTCTGACCTCATACTTAGGCCTGGATTGTTGAAAGGAGAGTCAACGATTTATCCAGAGAGATGAGAGAGTTATGGAGAGAAACCACACAAACTAGCCCTGACCAAAGCAAAACTTTGAATATGCTGATTATCTACCCAGAAAGGCTCCAATACCAGAAGAGACTGCGTTATTGTTCACTGGAAGAATATTATGTAAGTTTTTGGTTGTTTATTATCCTTCACAGTACATTGGAAGCTCCCCAAGGCAGACGCTCAAAAATATTTGTGTATGTAAGTGAAAAAACGTGCGCATAGCTAGCATGTCAATCCTTTTTTGTAACGCCCACCGCGGTGGCCCACGCCTGTAATCCCTCCAGAGGGAGGCTGTGGCAGGAGGATCCCAAATTCGAGGCCAGTCGGGGCTATTTGGCGAGACACTGCCTCAACTAAAATCTAAAAAATTAAAATTATTTTTTTAAAAAGGTTGGCCATATAGCACAAGTGGTAACGCGCTTGTAGAGCATTGCGAAGCCCTGGGCTCGGCCTCCAGTATCAAAAAAAAAAAAAAAAGAAAAGAAAAGAAAACACAAAACAGTACCTAACCCGTAACCGGGGACTCAGCGTTTCCTGAAGCTGAATACCCCGCAGGGCCAATGGGAGAATCCGGGGCCCAAGGTCCGACCACACACCCTTGACCCCCTCCTCCGCCAGGCACTTCCAGCCTCGCGCGCCAGCCCCTGTCGGCCCCAGCCTGCACCTTCATCCCCAGGACATCTCGAAAGAAATGCGTCGTCTGGAAGCGGTTTCCCACTTTGAAAACGAAGTGCAGAGCTCGGCGACCAGCCATGACTCCCCACGCTACACCACCGGCACTCGGACAGCGACGCCCCACCCACACAGACGGCGCCGAGGGCGGGTGACGTCACTGGCGATGGACGGCGCGCTTTCCTGACGTGACCCGCGTTACAGGAAAGATGGCGCTGCTGGTGAAGAAAGTGTGTTCTTCTGTGCGACCGTGGCTGCCAGTGGTCCAGACTTGGGATCTCAACGCGCGGCGCTGGGTCCGGGCACTGCGGCGGAGCCCCTTGAAAGTGGTGTTTCCATCCGGAGAGGTGGTGGAGCGGAATCGCTCCCCTCGGAAGCAGCCCCGCGAGGGGGCGTCTGAGGCGGCGCATCCCCAGGTTCAGCGACCGAAACAGCCGCTTCAGATGTCCCCATCCCATACGCCGAGTACCTGGGAAGAGGCAGGACTTCGCTACGATAAAGCTTTTCCTGGGGACAGGAGGCTGAGGTGATGTGTTTCTGACACTTGTCGTCTACTCCGGTGTTTGTTTTTGCTGCACAGTGGAATCTTAACCTCCTCGTCCCGGAGGAGTTCTTCCAGAACAACCCTCTGGTTTTATTATTTTTATTTTTGCATTATGCAGAATAAGTGTCTCCTTTGGAATTCGTTTTTGCCTCTGCGAAGCTCTTTATGTCTGTTAGAAATTAGGTGTGTCTCAGTATAAGAATGTTGGTCATCAGCCATCTTTTTGTTTCTACTTACAGCAGTGTAATGACAATAGTTAAGTCCAGGCCGTTTCGGGACAAACAAGGGAAGATACTACTGGAAGGTCGCAGGCTGATTGCAGACGCTCTGAAGGCTGGAGCTGTGCCAAAAGTTTTGTTCTTTAGCCGCCTGGAATACATAAAGGAGTTGCCAGTTGATAAGTTGAAAGGTGTAAGCCTCATTAAGGTGAAATTTGAGGATATCAAGGATTGGTCCGACCTAGTAGCACCACAAGGAATAATTGGTCAGTGTTTACACAATGTGTCACTAGGTGTGAATTTCTTGTTCATACTTGTCTTAGGGCAGCAGATTTTATTTAAATCAAATTTAAAATGTTACTATCTAATCTCTTCTTGGAGGCTTTGTACCTGTGATGCCTTTGCAAAGAATTCTAAATTTTTCATTGTATTATCTTTCAGGGAAGTAACTCATTTATTGGAACAATTATATATAGCAAAATGCTTATGATATTTAAAAAACTGTACAGTCCTTTGGGAGCATGCTTACAAAGAATATTGAATCTTTATTTGATATTAGTTTATATATAAAGAGCTTAGAAGTTTTGGGGACTGGGAATTGAGCCCAGAGGAACTTTACCACTGAGCTTCATCTGAAGCCCTTTTTATTATTATTATTATTTTTTATTTTGAGACAGGGTCTTCCTTGTTAAGGTGCAGAGGTTACCAAGGTTGGTCTTGAATTTGTGATCTTCCTGCCTTAATCTCTTCAGTAGCTGGGATAACACGTGTTGCACCACTGCACCCTGCTAGGATTTTTGTTTTTCCAGGTATAAACAGGTGTTTTATGTGCTTCAAATGTGAATAATCTAGAATAGGCTGTGTGGAGGACAGTTTGGTATCACTTGTTAACAGTAAGAGTGTATTTATACCAATTGTCCTTTTCACTTATGGGTGTTTATTTTCAGACACATACACATAGAGTCATACAGGGACATTCATTATAGCATTGTTTGTAAATAAGGAAAATTTGAAATAATTTAACTGTCAGTGGAAGAGCTAAATGAGCTGTTGTATATCCTTATTACAAAATAACATGCAAGCCAGGCGTGGTGGCACATGCCTATAATCCCAGCGGGAGGCTGAGGCACGAGGATTGTGAGTTCAAAGCCAGTCTCAGCAATGGTGAGGGGCTAAGCAGCTCAGTGAGACCCTGTCTCTAAATAAAATACAAAATAGGGCTGGGGATGTGGCTCAGTGGTCGAGTACCCCTGATTTCAATCCCTGGTACCAAAAAAAAAAAAAGTAAAAAATAACATGCAAGACAAGAATAAGGTAGCTTTAAATATACATGGTCATTTCTTTAAGACATGTTATTGAGTGAAATAAGTTAATTGCAAAATAATACATTGAGAGTTTTTATATGTTGATTAAAAGCACCTATATATGGACAGATGTCCCTGTATTTAGGTAGATGCATAAATGTTTTGAAAGCATACACTACAAGATTGAAAACAGATGGGGCAGGCAGGGGATCAGCACTGGTAGAATTTTATGTTGTTTTATGTTTTTAGTCAGAATGTATTCACATATTTCCTATGTCTTTAAAAAGACATAAAGAATAAGTAAATGGAAAATCAAATTATTTCCCACATCAAATAAGTGAACGTCCTTGTTGTTTCCTCAGGGATTTTTGCCAAACCTGACCATGTCAAAATGACATATCCAGAGACTCAGCTTCAGTATTCCCTGCCCTTATTTTTGATTTGTGACAATCTCCGTGACCCTGGGAACCTGGGGACAATTCTGAGATCTGCTGCTGGGGCAGGCTGCAGCAAAGTATTACTAACTAAAGGTAAGAGCACCTGTTACTAGGTGGCTTGCTTGGTTGGGACTCTGGGCAGACATGCATAGGTCTGAATCTTGGATCTGCACCTTACTAGATGTGTGTCCATGAGCAATATGCTAAGGGTCAGTTCCCTCATCTCTGAAGTGAGAATAGTAACAGAATCTTACTCATAGGGTTGTTCTGAGGAGTACTTGAGATGATACAAATAAAGTACTTCGCTCCATGCCTGGCATGATAAATAAGTCAGTAAATGTTGATTTTCTTTTAAAGTTATTTGAAACCTGTTAGGTTATTAAAGAAAAAAATTTTAATCAGGGCAAAAAATTTTAACATTTGGTTTCAGGTCTTGTATTTAATGATTTTGAGTGGGTATAAATTAAATTAAATTTTGAATTCTGTGAAAAGAATGTGTCAATGGTGGGATTATGCCTTTGTAATTCATTTCCCGCAGCCTCAGGTGGGTCACACAGTCCGTCCACATGCTAATTAACCTTATTACATTCCTATCTCTTTTAATCAGAAATGGGGATTAATAGGTTTGGTTCTAAACAGACCTGCCAAACTCATGGGATGTGCCCAAAAGACCTGTTCCACCTTGGGAGCGGAGGAGAGGGAAAGCATCATTCATCAGAAACACTCAAGCTACCATTAAATACACTAATAGTGGCAGCCATTGCTGAGACTTGCCTAAATTGTTTGTTCCAACTCTTCCCAGTCACACCCTGTTGGAGTACATTTCTCTGCTGGTATGAGAGCTAGGTGCTGTGATTCCTTTATGAGTAGCCACCTACTCCATTGTTGAGCACTGTGATAGGAGAGGTGGTTTTGGAAATGTGTTTATATAATCCAAGCAGTGTGGTTTTTCATATCGATAGTGGTGGCTGGTCTGAAAGAGGTAGAGAAAGAAAGAGTAGGAAATACTTGGTATGGTGCCCAGTGTCAAGGACATGAGGAGAAGGGGGAAAGTCTCACCTTTTCCTTACTCCCCGCTAGGTGAGGGGGTCAGACTAGATAGCTCCTCACAGGTATGAGCCCATCCTCTAGACCCTTTCCCTCACCTCTTCGCCTGTAGCCCAGCTCCCATCTCTGGTCCCTGACATGCATGGGAAAGCCCATAGGTGGGGTATGTGTGGGCACTCTCATGTTCTCAGTTTCTTTTATAGTCCTTTTAAAATGCTGTCTGCCTAGTTAATCTGTCCTGAATCTGACAAATTGACTTTTAAAATAACTTCTCATGAGGAGACTTGTGCTAACAAGTTAGGGTAGCAATATGTGTGATATAGTCATGAGGAGGTACCCTGGTTGTGCCATCTCTTCCCCCTTGCCTGTGGTGAGTAGACACTGGGAAAGATCAAGTATCTGCTGTGCATGGGAGTGGTTGGGCCTAGCACTTAACTATATGTAGAAGAGTAGGTTTGCTAACCTTACCATAATATGACAGAAGAGGTGTATGTGAGTGACAGAACTGCCACCTGGGTTCAGGTTCATTTCCCCCTGAATTGCTGCATCGACCTCCTACCTAATTTCCTCATCTCTAGTGTGGGAAATCTGTTCCAATCCAAATTGAACATTGAAGTCAAATGAGTCTGTCTGAATCATAAATCAGGTTCTGTCACTGTTTTGCTGAAAATCCTTCAGTACCTCATACTGTCTTCTGAAAAAAATCCAAACTCTTCAGCTTCACATCCTTGGCCTTCTGTACACTGGCCACTGCCTGCCTCCTCTCTCTTCTCCCACGCTCCACCCCCACCATCAACTCCAGTTCTTAGACATTCTCCCCTTCTCTGACTTTGTTCTCTACCTGGGCCTTTCTCTTACAACATCCTCTTATCCTTCAAGACCCAGCTCAGTGTCATGGTCTCTTAGACATTTGGTGTTTTTCCTGAAAGCCTGCTTTATATCAGGGTTTTCTCTTATCCTGTTTATGCTTCTTTTACATTGTCATTAATATTCTAATTACCTGATTAGATATTGTCCTAGCACCACCAACCACTGTACCCCGAGTTCCGGGATATTGGGTGTTTTAATTCCCTTTGCATCCCCTGGTCAGTGCATGTATGTATGAACAATGTCAAAGGGATGCATAGAATCCCTCTTCAGCACTAGCAGGGATTAATCCTGCAGTCCCTTTGCTGGACACTGCCGTCATTGGGAAGGCTCTGGAAGGTACCAACTACCAAGAAGGCTCCACTGGGAAACACTTTTGCTTTATTTTCTGGTCCAGAATTAATCTGATTTACTCCAGAGCTCCCACTCTGAGACTTATGAAATCTTGATTAAATCTTTTTTGTTTTCTAGGCTGTGTGGATGCCTGGGAACCCAAAGTGCTACGGGCAGGCATGGGGGCACATTTTCAGGTGCCTATTATCAACAATCTGGAATGGGAAACAGTACCCAACTACTTGCCCCCTGACATCCGGGTCCATGTAGCAGACAACTGTGGCCTCTATGCTCAGGCCCAGATGTCTACTAAAGCCAGTGATCATGGCTGGATGAGTGATCGACGATTTCTGAAATTTCACAAGTTCCAGGAAGAGGATCTAGAAACTGGAGACAGTAA